GTTTTTGTGATTATTTTGACAGTATATAGAGTGAAAGGTGTAGTTTTCTGAATATGTATTCGTACAATTCATTTTCATGCCAAACAATTTGGTTAAAGTCAGATGATATATGCAGTGAATATGTGACGATACATTTCAGTAATTAACCAATTGGATTTAAAGACCGCTATGCTATAGACAAATTGGTTTTGATATAAGCTCTTTATAAATATATTTAATAGTCTTAAAATTTAAGATATCAATATTTTTTTAAAAAATTTAATTGAATTATATATAACAATGGCTCTTAGACCAAAGTAATAAATTATTGGAATTATTAAAATATAAACAAATCTATCTTTTATTCAATTAATACTGTTATATTTTATAAAATATTTTACTTTGGTTTGTTTTAGTATAAGTCTATTAGCCAATCAGATCTTTTAAAATCACGAAATGATCTATAAAAATTAGCCAATCGGAATGAAAGCCCGCTATGCTTTTGTTTATTGCTTTTATAAAAAATTACATATATATAAAAAATTTTATTTATGTAAAAAAAACTTCCGGGCAGCCAGGTCCAAAAATTTTTTAAATGTTATGTAAACCAGTTTATTTTTTTTGTATCGTCTTACTTAAAGAAGAAAATTTTTCAATACAACATGATTTAAAAAGTTATTTAAGAGAAAATATAAATAATATTAAAAGCTTAAGAATCAATATCGATAAGGGTAAGTTTAATAAAATTGATAGAAAATTTACGAAATTTTTTACAATTTTATATAATGACAAAACAAAAGATACAACTCCTTTTTATAAAAATCAAGAATTATTTGTAATTGAAAATTTCAGTAAAGAAACAAATGTTTGTAGTTTAAACAAACAGAATAAATAATTATTAATTTATTATTTATGTATTTCTTATATTTAAATAAATATATCTATAAATAAAAATTATTATCTTAAAATATATCCGTATCATTATAAATCTAAAAAATATTATTATAAACTACCTAGATTTAATTACAATCAAGATAATTATTATAATGATTATTTTGAAGCAAACCCTAATAAGGCAATAAAATTAAAATATGAAGAAGATAACATCATCTCTACCACATCATCAAATCCTAAAAAATATTCATTTCATCATTTTATTGAAAAAAAATACATACATAACCTTTATGTTTACTGAAAATCAAAATTTTATAAAATTGGAAATGTGCAATACAAAAAATCCTATCTCCATCAGCGAATTAAATTTATTAGGATTTACCATTTTAATCAAAACTAAAGAAAGATAGTCAATTCTTAGATTTGTCTGAAGATAATTCATGTATCGAAATATATTCAACTATTTTAGATTCATTAAAAATTTTACATTACGATAATATCATTTATAAACTTTAAATTATCAATTATTTATTTATTATTTATTATTTATTATTTATTAATCAAATTATTATAAATAAAGATATCAAATTTTACATATTTCAATATTGAATTTATAAAAAAAATAACAACATGCCTAACATAACTCAGAATAAAATTAACAGATGTAATTATCTGAACATGACTTTTAACAATCTTATAAGCAAAACAATTGAAAAATATGGATATGCTGATAAAAAAAAAATTAATAAAACATTAGATGAATTATCCAAAGAAAAAAAATTCAAAGTTCAGAAAAAATATAATAAATATAAAGAAAAAAAATATCTAGAAAATTCTGTAATAAAATCATTTACAAATACTGAGAGTGTTTTCTCACCAGACATTGTTGTATATAATTTATGTGAAAATTATAACCACTGTAAAAATAATAAGCATATTTTTTGTTTAATTGGTGATGTGTATTTATGTAAATAGCTTGTCTGTATAACTGTATTATTAATAGAAAAGAAAAAGGAAATTTAATTTATTTTAATATTAATAAATGTATGGGTATTTAAACCCTACTAACATGTAACTTTTCAAATTACCAAAAATAAAATGAATTTATTACCTCCCGAAGTTCTTTCAATGATCTTTTCATTTTTGATTTATATTGATCATGATAATTTTTTCAACTATGTTTTGGTTTCGAAATTATTTGCCATAGCTTGTCTTCCTTATTTATAAGAAGATTCTTTTTGTTCATGTATTAGAAGAAATTATGCAAGCTTACAAAAAATAATTTATTATTACTTATCCAAGTACAATGAAGAGAGTATTTTATTTCAAATTTATTCTTCTCACTTTGAAAATATAAAAAAACCTCTTTTTGATTATTTATCCTTCATTAGACAAATTTGTGTTGATAATATTTTCAGGATTGTTACTTATGAAATCGATTACCGAACCATCACATATGAATTCGATCTTCATATAGATTGGAAAAACCAAGTCACAAAAACCATTCTCGGATTAATATTTAATTATTCGAAAAAAATCACTTATTTTCAACTTCCAAATACATATAAATCCAATATTATCAATCTTATAGTTAAATACAATTCAAAACATAATCGATCACGAAATATTTATCTAGACACCACCCATTCTAGTAATTTACTTAAATTCAATAACATGTACGGAATTGCTCTTAGACATAGGAAATGGAATAGTCAAGGCCATTCTTCATTTTATATCTCTACTAATCTTCATATTTTTAAAGAAATCAATTTAGAAAATATTACAAATATCAGGTTGAGAAATATTACTTTTCTGAAAAAGAAAATGAAATATTAAATTATTTCATATCATTGAAAAAATTAAGATGTCTTAGCTTTATTAATACAAATATTCACAATGTTAAAACTATTTATGAAAAATTTAAAAATTCAAAAACTTTAGTGTATTTAAAAGTCATCTTATCTGATCTTAAATATTGTGTTTTTACAGAAAATTTACTTAAAAAAATTCTTGATAATGAAAATATTGAAAACATTATTATCGAATTTGATTGGAAAGAAGAAAATTTCTTAATTAACAAAAGAAATTCTATTAAAAAATACAAATGTTGGGTAACAAAACATCAATATAGATCTTCACACCCTTCATAATAATATTTCATGTCAAAATTGTTATTAGTTAAATTTATGATTAATGATTCACAGTTTAATTCGTATTTCAAATGTGATGTTTTATTAATTATCTTTTCAATTAATAAAACTTTATTATTATCGATATTATGTTTATTATTAGCACGAGATAACACAAGAAAAAATAAAATAATAATTAATTTTATAAGCTTTATTTTTTAAATTTACAAAATGAGATTCTCAAGTCATTTAAATATTTATTTTATTAATGATTTTAAATTAATATATATATAATTAATTAGAAATTACAAGTTTAAAATATTTAATATTAATAAAATAATAAAATCTGAGAAATTTTAGTTTCATACATTTAAAAATGTATTACTTATTATACAAACCACGAAAAGGTATTTCTCAATTGCATGTAAAAATAATAAAACATAAACTTCAACCAGCATTATGAATTAATTATAACTTTGGTCCAATCCTTTTAAAGGGAGAATTAAGATGGAGCCCCAACCCACAATTTATCTCAATCCTTATCGATTGATAATCCACTCATGTTTGAAATTTGACTATTCAATTCACTATAGTATATGAAATATACCATGAGTACGCAGAAGAAATAATTTTCTTTACAGTTCTCCAAAAGCTAATATACAAAGGAAGCTTAGAGCTTAGTTTAAACTTGTACAATTCCTTGTTTAAAAAAAAAACAAGTACACTTCACTCTCGGATATCTTACAAGTTAAACACAGCCTACAAATCAAAATTGATAGTAGGAATTCCTCATGATTTGAATATATTTCAAATGTCTATTCATCATGAATTAAAAGGTAAAGATTCAGAATAATAATTTTATCATCTTTATATACTTTCCAAATTTTAATTTATATTGAAATCAATGAAATATTATGTAATTTGTATATCATTATAAAATTACCAATTTAGATAAAATTTAAATATGTATAAATTTATTTAAAAAACTAATAAATAATTTACAATATACATGTAAAATTAAATATTTAACAAAGAATTTTCTTTATAATCAGACAAATATAAATTACGCCAATTATATTTATATTACAAATCAAGATATCAGGCTTCAAAATTCCAAAATTTCAAAATTCTTATAAATTTAACCAAAAAAAAGATTGATAAAGAAATTGACCTTTTATTTTAAGGACCAATCAAATTAATGATAATGTTGTCGATATAATAAAATTCAATTTTTGATACGGTTAACCAAAAATAAATTCGTAGTTGATAAATTCTTCATCGAAAGTTAATAAACTCTTTTCTGTTTCTTGGTACATGATTAAAATTTCTTTTTTAATTGAAAGAATATTTAAAATGGTGATTTCTTCATCGTTCAGAATAATACGTTTAAATTTTTTTAAATTCATCATCACAATAACATAATTGCATTTAAATCTAATCCAAAATTTATGAATCTTTAATTTTATCATCATTGAAGTTACAGAATAAAATCCAAAATTCCATTTTTTTATAAAAAATCAAATTAATAATTAAAAACAAAATTTAATTTTATATCTATATTACAGTTTGAAATAAAAAATCAATTACATCGAATTTAATTTAAAAACAATCGAATTTATAAATTCGTTGAATTGTTTTTTAACCAATTCTAAATAATCATTAAAAAGCTCTTTTTGAATTTGAATCTCGACTCTTTCAGAAAGTAATTTTAAATTTAATGAATGTGTATAATAAATATACACAATGAAAAATATAATAAAAAAAATAAAAAAAAAGAATAAAATTAAAATACTATTTTTCAAGAGCAAAACAGTATTTAAAAGTTTTTTATTTGTTTTTTTGAGAGAAACTATCTCGTATTATGTTGCTCAAACTCCTGAGCGACACGATTAGTAATAGCTTCTCTTGCTTCTATTAAAAATAAATAATTTAATTTTTTTTTTTAATAAATTTAATAAAATAATGATAATTACCTTCAGAAATAATCGACGATTCTGAAACTATTTTATTTATTTAATATTATTTAAAATTACACAAATTTTAAAAATCAAATTTAAAAATTCCAGCTCTTAAATATCTTTTAGAGCTGTTGTGAACGAATCTGATATTCCTGGATAAGGTGGAGGTGGTGAATCTGGAATAGATGTAAATTCAGATTCTGTATAAGAATCTTCCATATGCAACAAAGATGATAAAGAATATAGTTTCTCTTGATTCAGAGAGATTCTGCCAGAAACAGTACATTGTAATAAATGTGACATAGTAATATCGATTAATAAAATAATATATAAAGCTTGTAAGAAATACATAGAAAATTTATTATTGTTCAAGTTGCAGAAATGTTTTCTTTATAACCAATCTGAATATAACTGAAAATAAATATTCGTTGTAAATTCAAAATAAAAACATTTTTAAACAGATCAATATCAGTTAACCAAATCTATTAAATAAATCTAGATAATCAAAGTGTTGTTTATATGGGTTATTCTATATACACAAATTTAGAATTACGTATTTACTGGGGTAGTAAAGTAGCTCAATTATACATATATGATGGAAGACAAGTCAAACTTCATTTTCACAGATATTTAGAAAATTTAGTAAGTCATCTTCAAATTACTGAAGATTACATAACTGGTAAAATCAATAAAATAAATCAAACCAACAACCAATTACAAGAATCAATTAAAAAACTAGAAAATAAAAATAAAGAATCAGAACAAAAAAATAATCAATTAAATCAAACTATTATCAAGTTAAAAGAAAAAAATAAAGAATTAGAAAAAACAAACATATCTATTAATAACGAATTACAAGAAAAAATTGATGATCTAAATTTATTAAGACAAGAATTTGATTCGTTCAAGAAATCAATCGAGGAACAAGAAAAGATTGATATGTTAATAACAGAAATATGTGCAATGTTGAGCATAAACTCAGATAATAATTTATTAAAGATATATCATGCTTTATTACCAAATAGCGACACAAATAACATAACAGATCAAAAAAAAATTGTCAAATTGATATGTAATATTGTTAATATAAAGTATATAGAAAATAACGAGTATCAAAATCTTGTAAACATAAAAGAAGCCATTAGAAAAAGAATATTTATAAATAAATAACTTTAATAAATATTTAACTCATTCGTTGAATAAAATTTTTATTTTATTATAATAATTTATTTTAAAAAAATATACAAATTTTAAAATAAAAAAAAATAAAAATTTAAAAAAAAGTAAAAAAAAATTAATTATTTTTTAATATTTCTCCTGCTTTGTATTTGTCTAATAATTTGATATTTCTATTGATTATTTTTTGATTTTGAATTTTAAGTTCACTCAATTCTCTTTCTAATTTTTTAATATTTTCAACCAATGACAAACATTTATTATAGTTAGAAAAAGTGTCTTCGCAGTTTTTTTTTAATTTAAAACATGAAGAGCATATAGTCATGGTGTTATCTTTAATTTTTTTCTTAACTTTGAGAAGAGAAAAAATGACCATGTTGATATCTTTCTCCAACTCCATCTAATAATAAAAAAATATTATTAATAATTTGTTTATAAACAACATATTAAAAAAAAAAATAAACTGAATAAAATATTATAAGAACAAGACAAAAAAAAAACAAGTAGCGCTATCGAAATTCACAAGTTAAAAGTTGACTAAACTTGTGTCGTCCAATCACTCTGGTCCTAGTTGCCAAAGGAGAGAACGAAAAAATATTGTTCTTTGCTACCGGTAGACTAAATAATTATGTATATTTAATATAAAAAAAAAACAAAGAAAAAATACTAACATCTATGAGAATAAAGGTTGTTGTTTACAAAAAAAAAAGATCATCTTGATTTTAAATAAATATTTATAGTAATTTGAGTAATGTGTTTACATACGTGATAATGATCTTTTTCTGTTACACATTCCATGTATATGATGATCTAAAAATGTGATATTTTGGTAGATTAGACTCGTTATTCTATATCAGACCTAAAAATAGTAATACATATAAGAATAATTTTAGTTAACACCTATATTAGGCCATGCAAAATTAATTAATTGGTTTTCATAACCTGGCCAGGTCTAAATTTGAAAACTTTTAAAAAAATTTTTTATATGTTTTAATAACCAGGTAGGTTTTGAAAAAAATTTTTATATAAATTTTATAAAATTTTATATATGAATTTAAAAAAAA